AATATTTGAAATTATTATTAAAAAAAATACAAATTACTAATTCTTCTAATCACTAAAATTACTAATCACATTCAAAGATATTTTTTTTTACATTACCTGTTGTTATTGGATTCTCTATTAATCATTATTCGGTAGAAGAATCACGTTTTATATGGATTAATACTCCACATACGGTATGTTTTTTACTCGATATTAATTTTGATAAAAAAAAATACAATTATTTAAATAAATCATTTTTTTTTAGACCATGGGACATATATTAGTTCCAATGATTATTTTAGAAGTTATTATTGGTATCATTTATAATCGTATATATCATATAAATAAAGTACGATTAATTCATGATTATTTAGCATATTTTATAACTATTTGTATCCCGATAGAAATTTTACTTGGTATTATAGAATTTAAGGCCGAGAAATTTTGGTATTATATTTTCTTTGGTTGGCTTGTGATTTTACTAGCAATATTTATTTTAACAAAAATTAAAACACGTGATAAAAATCTCGTTAAAAAAAATGAAAATTCAATAAATTAATAATTTTAATATTAATCTGATAATTCATCATTTCTACTATGTCAAAATTTAATTATTAATATATTTATCTATTTAAACAATAAAATATTTTTTATTGATAAATAAAAATGGGTTTTGAAACATTAGAAAAAATTGATCAAGAACTTATCGATAATTCAGAAAAATATCATGGATTATCTAAATCAGATATTAGATATCAAGAATGTTTAACTATATTACATTTTCTTGGAAAATATTCTGGTTGTATTCCAGAACACGGTGGTCGAATAATTCTACAAATGTTTAAATTTCCTAATAATTCAATTCGATATCGTCTTCTTTTGAATCATGTGTTAAAAACAATCAAGTCAGATGAATTTTGTTTAAATGAAACAGGTGAAAATAATGATGAAGTATTTGAAAGACGGGTGGGAACATTACAAGATATCCTTGAATTTATCGATTATATTCAAAAACCTTTTAAATTATTATCGATTAATGACATTCCAAAATTTATCAAAGTAAATCAATCAATGATAAATGATCCTTGGATTAAGATTTATAATATGTGTCAAACAGATGAAGAGAAAGATAGACTTTTTCAAGAATCATATTTAGAATTAAAAATTGCATTAAGTCTTGCAAGATTACGTAAAAATTTTTTTTACAAAATTACTAATGAAGATGAGGAAAAAATTCATCAAATATCTTATTTTGAATTTAAAATGAAAGATCATCTTGGACTTGTATTTCAAAATATCAATTATGATGATTCAAAAGTTAAAAATAGCTATAAAAATATGACTACAGATTATATTTTAAATATAATTATTAATAGTGATTATCGATTTGAAATTGGAAAAGAAGAATGTTATAGTAATTGTGATGTATTAATTCAACATGTATTTAAAGATTTAAATAATTCATGTGATGTTATTCTAGATAAATATTTTGAAAAAAATAAGATAAATATACTTTCTCCAGATAGTGTAAAAACTTTATTGTATTCTTTAGGTTATATTGAAAATGACACAAAATAATAATAATTTTAAAATAAATAATTAAATTCAATTATCTCATTTAAGATAAGATATC